GAAAAAGTTTTCTTAGCAAAATGGATTATCATTGAGAAAAAAAATATGTAACTCAATCAACTAAATTTTATTTGTTTAGTTAGTCTGGGCTCACATAGCGTAAGTGCTCTTATTATTATTATACATCTGGGTGAGATTAAATTTTTTCAAGTGTTCTGCAAAATCTAAGGCAAGTCTAAGACCATTATTTGCCAATCCTTCTTTATCAGCAATCCAATACTAGTGACTGATTCCATTGATGGGAAAGCCCTAGGTGGCTCAATAATAAAGAAAATACGGATTAGCAGAGTCCCTTGAGGTAAATCCTAATGCATTACTGATGTGTCTAACTTATCAGAAAAGTCTCTAGGTAACTCTTGGGGGTTCACAGACTTATCACAGTGATATCCTGCAAAAATGACAGAATAATTTAATTCTACAGAAGCCAAGAAATTCTATTTTAAAAGCTCTATGAACTGAATAAAACTGTATACATGTCCCTGAATCTACTCTCCAAAGCAATCTCTTAAACTGTATTTTAAAGAGGAAAAAAATGTCATATTTTACCATAAAATTACCTTTCAGGCTAAAAACAAGGCTAGGGAATACACACACACAATCTGTAGGTATAGGCCTAAAGTGGAGAGTTGATAAAATTTGACAGGTAAGGGAACTTTACTTTTCTTTCCTTCACCCACCAAAGCAAAAATGCCTAAGGCACTCAAACTTATAACCCTAATAACAGTTTATGATCAAAACCTCAGATGAGCAATGGGAATTCTTCAGGAGAAAATGTTCGTGTTTTTTAAAATCATACGTAACTGCTATATAAACAAACAGATTAACTAAAATAAGCATCTGATGTCTTCACTGATTCTACCAAGCACTTTATGGCTTGCATTAACCATGAAAATTTACACAAGGCTTTGCACGTGATTCAACTCTGGACACAGAACTCATTGAGACACGTTTATGTCCTAAAACACCCCTTTCACCACACAAGCTCTGAATAGGCTTAAAACAAGACAGCCTATGGGTAGCGCTGCAGAATTTGGAGCTAAATTTTATTGTCTCTACCACATTCAGCCAGTCACAGAGCAACAAATCAAAGTTCCAATATGCACGCTGCACCTGCAAGACTTAGGTATGCTCCAAGTCAAATATTTGCAATTTTTTCATCCCAAATCTGCGCAAATGAAAGTATGAAGATCGCAGCACCAGACCTCTTGTCAGCCAAAGTGATCTCTATTTCCCACATCAGCCGTGTCCTACTGTTTTTGAGTCCTTCAAACGGACATGTGCCAGGAACTGTGCTAGCAGCTTGCATATATTATCTCTAATCCTTAAAACAAATCCCATTCTACTGTTGAGGTAAGTGAGGCCAGAGAGGTCAAGGTGATTTGCCCAATGCCGTAGTGCCGTAGAGCCAGTACCTGGTGGAGCTGATTCAAATCCTGTTCTGCCAGGCTCCAAAGGACCATCTCCCTGATCCTCCTTCAGCTAAACTCACTACCTGCAACACCGTTTCCCTCTATCAAAGTAAATTCAAGCGTTAACTGTCAGAAATGGTGACAACAGCTGAGAAGACTATCATACCTAAAGGTGGAGCACAAGACCCAAGAGTTCCCTGCCAGGAAATGCAGTCATCTCCTTTAGAATAACTAGTTCCAAAGGCTATGGTTCAAAATATAAGAGAATTCACAAGGGTTTTTGTTGTTGTTGTTGGCTGTCTCTTCACCGACTTTTTACAAGGGAAATGAAACTCAAGAGTATATTCACATTCTTGGTGAAATTATCTAAAACCCTTGAGTAAAGGGTGATTTTTTTTTTTAACAGTTCACTTTTACAGGTTACTTCTTCGACAGGCTCCAGACATTCAAAAGCAAAATCACATCAGTAGCATTACTAATCAACTTTTTTCTACAGACTTGAAAAGTATTTTCTTACCACACTACAAGATTACTTCCCATACTTTGAGCAGAAATGGAAACAGCTCTGGGCGTCACGAATCAGATCTTGAGGCCACAGTTGCAGAAAGTAGGTGCTGTTTCCCTTGAGTACGAGCCGCTGATCTGAAACCTCCTAAGGGAAGGGTGTCTGTCTGAGAGTGCTGAAGAATCTAAAGCAAGCTGTTTGTATTAATGAGGGAGATGCTGGCCCCACTACTCCTTAAGTGTTTCACTGCCATGCAATTGTTTTCCAGCCTCCAAGCTCTGAATCTGGCAGAGAATGCTGTTCTCACAGCCATACACATTCTATGATCAGCTGCTCTGTGGTGTGTGGGTGTTTAACTAGGTAAGTGACTGGTTAGAAGAGGTTCTGCAATATTAAATCAAGGAAGCACACTGTCCCCTGGGATTTTAGTGATCTGTCACCCTACGACGCTGACAAAGTAACATATTTGCAACTTTGAAATGGTCTGGGTTTAGAATAGGCAAATAATTTCCGACAGTAAAGCTTCAGGCATGACATGAACAAAAAATATAACCTGTAATATAAGCCACTTCAAGCATGTTTATTAGATAATAAAAAATGCAATATTTGCCATCTCAGCATGCTTTCAAACTTCATAGGGTACACTGCCTAATTATTAGAATAAATGCTATTCTTCAGGTGTGTGGAACAGGTTCTATGCAAGATTCCAAGCCCCTCCCCATCGCCTTCCAAAAAAAGTTAATACCATGAATTGGTTAGCCTCTCAGAACCCCAAAAATGTAAAATAAATAAATAAATAAAAGGTCTCAAAGGATTCTTTAAGTAAAAAATATTGTCAGAACTGTAAGCTCCTGGAGAGCTGGGGACTATGTTTCTTTAATGTCACTGCCCATCACAACACTATCACAAGTGAAACAAATCCCCCTTGGTTGAAACATAATCAAAAGGCAAAAGCTGGATGCAGAGTGATTTAAACAAGAATAGCTGATATTTATCCCCTGCTTGTTGATAGAATAGTGCAACGTTCATCCCTTGTTCTAAATTCTAAACACAGGGGCTGAATTCCTAACTGCAATCAGGATCCTCCCATTAAAACAAAACTTTAAAATGGATGATTCTGATGGCAATGTCACCCTGAATAAAGACATGAAATCATATTTAATAAAGTTGAAAAAATCTGCACAGAGCAGGTGCTCTACTATGGGAATGATAAAGCCTTCTTTTAATAAATCAAGTCAACCTCCATCAACACATCATGGATAGGTATCATGAAAGAGACCACTGACTTTGCTGTTGAAATATGCTACATTTAGAAAACAGTGCAAGGAACATACATCATCAACTGGTCAAATTCAGACAAATTATTCTGACTCCAGTTTTAACTTTTTCTGAAATTCTCACATAGATCTCCTTTTTACAGGAAGACAGGGAAGTAATGGAAGAACAAAACACAAGGATACATATATCATCTACTTTGTTGCTTACTGCTCAGGACCAAAGTACTGTAATGCCAATCCTCAAGAAACAAAACAAAACACAAAACTCAAGTTCCTTTCACTTTTGCATAATATAGATCTCAACCTGACTGTCCCAGGACTAGCTTCAAGAGGACTGTAATTGCATATAAAAATCATGAGCATCTCTTTGGTTAAGAACCACTGAAACAGACATTTCCAGAATCACTAAAACTCAGAGGTGATCATTTTAAACAAAATTATACTAAAGGTAGTATCTATCAGAATACGTGTGCACAGTCCTGGTACAGGACTGTGCAGCTGACCACTCTCAAATCAGCCATAGGCGGGATCATCCCCTGCATTCGGGGCACACACACATGCTAGCCACAGCAGCTCTTCATTCCTTAAGCATACACATGTTGTCAACAAAGCATGTGCTAGTTGCCATTCCCAGAACAATACACAGGCCTGGCCATCTCTGGAAAAAAAAAAACACACATTCTTCCCAAAACACGACCCTATGTAGTTAACTATGCCTTGATGACCGCTCTTACATATTAAAACAAAATAAATCGAAATGCCCACACACATGTATCTAATCGACTGAGGAAAAAAGCATCACTCAGGTTATTACTCAGGGCACACCGGAGATGCAGATCAGGAAAACACTATGATAATGATGCTTGAACATGGGGACAATCAAAGACAGACTCACGCAGGAACATCCTGAGAACATGGTTGTGGAAAGAACCCCTCTCCAAAAGCAAATGCACATTCCTCTGATTGGCACAAGCCATTCCTGACAATGGATCCGCAATGACAGGGGCTGCTCTGGCAATCAGGAAGTGTGTGTGCGTGTTGTGGGGGAGGGATGTACTTAAATGTGATCAAAGACTGGCCCTCTTCAAAGAAGAGCATATGAGACCTCAAATCGTGAAGACAGACTTCGAGGGTGAGGCAGGGGCATTTATCATTTCTACAGGAGACATCCCTCGACAATGAACATGTTATGTGCAGATGTAACGGGGGTGTCACTACCTTTAGTGTCTCCCATCTAAGAATCTTAAGTAGAGCCTGATTGGAGGGGAGGAAGAGGTGGGGGTGGAGAAAGGTCTGCATTACCCTCTGGGGTGAGTGTTGGGCGGGTGTACACTAGATGCATTTTATCTCGAGCGGCACAATACTCCCAGGGGTTGGAGGTTTGGGCGCAACCGCAGGGCCCGGGAGGCAATGGGTGCACGCCACCAGCTGCAGGGCAGGGGAATGCTCGCTGGAGGACCGGTGCAAACCTCCCTCGGCCCGCTAACCCAGGCAACCCCAGCCTCCCCTCGGGCCTCGGGGCGAGCGGGCTCTCTGCAAAACTGGAGCCCGGTCCGGGTCCGGGAGCGAGGGGCCGAAGGAGCAGAAGCGGGCGCCCCCGGCCCGAGCTCGCGGCCAGAGGAGCGCAGCGCCCCGGGCCTCCCCGCCGGATGGGGGCTGCTCCGGCCTAGTGCACGCAGCTGCCTCGGCGAAGGGTTAACCCGGCGCCCAAGCCCCGGCCGGCCCGGCGGGCGGCGGAGAGGAAAGGCTGCTGCAAGGGGCGCAGCCGCGACTGTGGCGTGTGCGTGGGGGGCAGGGGCCCCTACTCACCCTGGCCGGCCGCCTCCGCCTCCGCCGCCCCGACCGCCGCCTTGGCGGTCCATCCCTGCGGCGGGGGGCCTGTAGCCGCGGCGCTCGAGTAACAACCGCCGGCCGGGCCGGCCCCTCCCCCCCCGCCCAACGTCTGTCCTCAGGGCCGCTCCGCAGACCCGGCCTCGGCCGCCGCCGCCGCCGCCGCAGCGCTACGTGGCCGCCGCTCCGACGTCTCGCGACTCCCTTCCGAGCGCGCGAGGGCGAGCGGGGCCGGCGGGGCGGGCGGCGCGCGGGGAGGGAGGCAGGGGAGGGGGTGTGCGTGTGTGGTTGTGTGTGCGGAGCCGGGGGCAGGGAGGGAGGGGGAGCGGCGGCGAGAGCGCGCGCGCGCCCGCGGCCCCGTCCCTCGCCCGCCCCCCCATCCCCGCCCAACGGGGAGCCGACACCTCCCTCTGCCCGCCCCCCTGGCATCCCGGCCGCGGGGCGCGGCGGCGCGCATGCGCAGCCCCTCGGGCCGGCCCTGGCGCACCTTTTCTCCCCGCTGCCACAATGTGAGCGCCCCGCCGCCCAGATAACCGCCGACTCCCGCTCCACCCCCGCCTTCCCCCACTCCGCCCACTGCCGGGCGCCCAGGTAAAGGCGTGGACTGCGCGTGCGCACCTCTCTCCCTGGGTCTGGGGGCGTGGTTGCTGAAAGGAAGCCAAAACGCAGAGTGGGAGGGAGCTTGGGGTAGAGGTTGTGAGTCTCCCTGAAGTAGGGGCGGGTTAGGATTAAGGAAAGGTAAAGTGAAGAAAAGGGGCCGAAGTAGGAAAGTGGGCCCAAGTGAGATTTAGAAGTAAAGGAGCCTTTGGCTTATGAAATAAAATTAAAAAAGAACCCGTGGCCTCTGTTCCTGGTGGCCTCTGTTCCTGGAGGGTAGGGTGAGTGACAGAGGACAGAAATAAAGGAGGCAAAATATAAGCAGTAGTGGTCAGTCACGAGATAAATGGGGACAGCTAATAAAACCTGGAGAAATTTAGAGATTGCCAGAATGGTCAGAAAAACAAATTTAGAGCGGCGTTTGTTCTGTGGCCAGGAATAGAGCATGTGTGTGTGCTTGAGACATTGAACTGCTGCAAGAAAGGAAGCCTCCATTGAAAGTATTACAGCATTATGACTAATTAGCTATTAATCATTAATATAATTAATGGTACCATTAGCTAACAAGGTAGCATTTATCCAAGTTCCGAGCCAAGAGAGGGTGTCCATAATTGCAAGTGCTTGGCATACAGAGAGAGGAAGTGAGGCAGGCAAGGTAAAGGCCTAGGGAGGAGAGGACCCAAGACAGCAACTTGGAGGGTCAGGATGACCCTTTCCCACAATAAACCAAACTTCCCTGATGTTTCCCAAATCTTATCTCCATTGGAACTCCTCATTCTCCTTCCATTATTAAAAGCACACTTAACAAATGTCTTTGCGTTAAGACCTATCTCTTCACACATTTTCAATACAGATGCAGCTACTTCTCTCCAAAATAGCCACCCCTCCCTCTCCCCCCCCACCCCCGGAAAAAAGTCCCTATAGCAAGTAAAATGGCCTGAATCTGGGATAGGGTTAGGGAAGAGATTGAAACTTGATACACAAAAGGGTTCCAGGGCTAGCCCTGTCCTTGGCACCTTCCGAAAACAAATGCTCAGTCTTTATTATACTTGGACTCCACATTCCAGGGAGTGTAATTTGGCACCTTTGGGTTGTGTTCCTCAGTAGTGAGCGTCTTCAGTGGATAAACACTAAGGGTGACATCGTAATTCAGCAGGTAGAGAGAAAATCTCCAGGCAGAGCAGGAGGAAATAAGCATGCATAAATAATAAAAGAAAAGACTTAGGGGCACCTGGTTGGCCCAGTTGGTGGAGCATGTGACTCTTGATCTCAGGGTTGTACCCCTGAGCCCACCTTGCATGTAGAGATTACTTAAAACAAACAAACAAATAAATAAATAAAATCTTAAAAAAAAAAAAGATTTACTGTAAGAAAGAACTTGGCTTCTACGGGGGCTGGTGAGCCCCGAACCTCTGACTGAGATGTCTAGTTTTGCCCTTCTAGGACATTTAATCCATTCCCTACTCTGCCTGTCAGGGCAATCCAGCTTGGAAGACCGGTGTGCAGAGCGATGGCTAAAGAAGCAAGGTAACCTTCCAAGTGTCTATGACTCTCCACCCACAGACCAGCCCTCTGAAGGGCTCCTAGTAGTTACAACAGTAATATTATCGCCTTCCACTTGAGGAGTGCTTTATGGTTTCTGCAGGGAAGTTATGTCCATTATCTCATGAGATCTTCCAACAACTCTGTGAGGCCAGCAGGACAGGTATTATTATTCCCAATGAAGGAAATTTGGGCCAAGGAAGGCTTAATGGCCCAGTCGATCACTCAACCTAGAAAACAATGGAGGGTTTGACTCTGAAAGACTGCTACATATTCCTGTGGGCAAAAACAGGTAGCCTTGGGGCGCCTGGGTGGCTCAGTCGTTAAGCGTCTGCCTTCGGCTCAGGTCATGATCCCAGGGTCCTGGGATCGAGCCCCATCGGGCTCTCTGCTCAGCGGGGAGCCTGCTTCTCCCGCTCCCACTCCCCCTGCTTGTCTTGCTGTCTCTCTCTGTGAAATAAATAAATAAAATCTTAAAAAAAAAAAAACAGGTAGCCTTGGCACGTGATAGAGAATAATTCAGTTCTACACCTGCATCTCCTTTCTTTCATGTGTTTTCCCCTTTTCTTCTCTTCAGGACCCTAGGACTTGCTCCTGTGTGTCTGAGGCCTTGGTGACCAGTACTTTGGAAGGCCTTGGGCCGCAGTGCTTAACAAGGAGATCCCAGTTGCTCTGCTGTCTCTTAACTCTTCCCTTACATGTAGTTACCCACAGCAGGGGGCTGCAGACCAGTGTCCTCTCTCGACATGTCATAAGAAGAGGGCCTCTGCTCTCAGCCAGACTGCAAAGCCCATGCCCCCTTCTTCAGTGGCTGACATTACAACTGACAGTCAATGCAAGCACCATTAATTTTTTTTTTTTCTTGCAAGCACCCACAGCTGGTCTCACTGGAAGATCGGGCTTCTGTCATTCTGGTTTCCTGGCCTTGGATAGTTCTTCACTAACTTCATTAAGGCAGTGGACAAAACCCAGTAGAAGCCATTTTTTAAAAAAAGATTTTATATATTTATTTGACAGAGAGAGAGAGGGAGAGGGCATGAGCTGGGGGAGCAGCAGAGAGAGAGGGAGAAGCAGACTCCTCGTTGAGCAAGGAGCCCAACACAGGGCTTGATCCAGGAATCCTGTGATCATGACCTGAGCCGAAGGCAGCCGCTTAACTGATTGAGCCACTCAGGCGCCCCATAGAAGCCATTTAAAAAAAAGGTTTAGTAGACACACACATTTGCATGCACGCACACACACGCACAGGAATATTACTCAGCCATAAAAAGAGGATGAGATCTTGCCATTTACAACAACAAGGAAGGACCTAAAGGGTATTATGCTAAGTGAACTAAGTCAGAGAAAGACAAATACCATATGATATCAGTTAGAAGTGGAATCTAAAAAACCAAACAAATGAATAAACAAACAAAAAGCAGAATCAGACCTACAAATGCAGAGAACAGACTGATGGTTGCCGGAGGGGAAGAAACGTGGGGTTGGACAAAATGGGGGGAGGGAAGTGGGGGGTACAGGCTCCCAGTGATGGAATGAATAAGTCACAGGAGTAAAAGGCACTGCGAGGGAATATAGTCAGTGATATTGTAATAGGACTGTATGGTGACAGGTGGTAGCTACACTCCTGGTGAGCACGGCACAAGGCAGCGAGAAGCCGAATCGCTCTGTTGTACCCCTGAAACTAATGTGACATTGTTTGTCAACTATACTCAAATAAATAAATAGTTTTAGTATAAAGTTCTGCACACTTTGACAGTTCTGAAAATCTTCAAAGATTTCATTTAAACAGCAGCAGATATATCTGGTTCTTTAAACGGCCTCATACAAGCTCCCAGTGCACTGCATTTCCTCACTCCCCAAGCTTCCGGGAATGTATCCACAGTCCCTGATAGTTCTTACCACCTCTACTTAAATAGGGGCGGTGGCTGTGGCTCTCTGTCCCCTCATTGATCTAAGCTGCTTCTAGCACACCAGACTTGGGGCCAGGGCCCTGGTCATGGGCTCCTAGGTTCTCATACCTGCTGTGCTGCAACCTTTACTCAATCCCTTCACCTTTTAGACCTTGCAAAAAAGACAGGATTTTCCAGCTCTTAGAGTCTTCCAGGTCTGGTACCTAGGATTCTATTCTAGAAAGTTGACTTTGTTCGCTAATATCTTACAATGCCAATCCTTCGCTGAGAATCACTAACCAGTTCCTATCTCTGAGCCTTGCCTACAAGAAGCTGCCCCCTTCACAGAATGGAGAAAGCTGGCCTGGACTCTCCTGTTTTATTCACTTCTTCTCTAAGTGACGGGGTGTAGAGACAGATCAGAAAGATGGACTTCGGGCTTTTCTGCCATAGGGCTTGCATGCATATGTGCCCTCGTGCGGCGTGTATGTATGTTTCTGTCCAGTCTTAAAGGGATATGGGTCAAGGGCACTTTCGCTCTGTGACCCCTCACCTCCCACCACACCTGCTTGAATTCTAGTGAAGAGGCGAGATAAATGCCAGGATGTCCTAGAAGAAAAAGAGAGCACACCCTAAAAGGCCAGACCCATGAATGCAGCTGTTTTGCATTGGGGATAGAGGTGAGGGAGGCTATTGGGATAGCCAGTGTCCCTTTGGGCAAAGCTTGGTTTCAGCTGCAACATGGCCTGAGGCCATCATCGGGCTCACAGCCCGCTGCCACTATGGTCTCTCATCAAAATGCATTTTATAATTATTTTTTTAATATACAGATATTTATAAGATTTTATTTATTTCTTTATTCGTCAGAGAGAGAGCGAGCAAACAAGCAGGGGAGAAGCTCCCCACTGAGCAAGGAGCCCGATGTGGGGCTCAATCCCAGGACCCTTGGATCATGACCTGAGCCGAAGGCAGACACCCAACTGACTGAGACACCCAGGCGCCCCTCCCCTGCCCATTTTTTTTTTTCTAAATAGCAAATAAGAATGAGGTCTGGATTTTAAGGGTCAAATGGCCAGAACTTGGGTCTCCAGGATCCAAGTCCCGGACTTTG